GCCACTGCCGCCACTGCCGCCGCCGCGCTCCAGACAGGCCGGGAGACGGCGCGCCCCGCCCGCCCGCGGCCCCGCCCCGGAAATGAAGCTCCACGGCCCGGCCCCCCGACCCGGAACGTAAACACCGGCGCCCGCGCGGCGCGCCAGGGTTGGAGTGCTGCGCGCCTTAGAGGTGGCTGGGAGCCGGGGGCCGGCCTGAGACCCCTGCAGGGATGCGTCGCGGTCCGCGAGTCCCAGGATGCAGCGGCGACCGAATGGGATTCCTCCCTGTCATCCTGTGCTCACACCTTTGTGAAGGAGTCAGACTGTGAACACGGCCTCAAGAAATGAGACAGGACGCTTCCAAAGAGCGCTAGTAGCGGAAAAGGGAAATTTAGAAAGAGGAACGAGCCAAAGCGTGGGGACAGGGGAGGTGGGCGATCCCGGAGGGCTTCTCTACGGAGATGACCTTAGAGACCTGGATAGAAAGAGGGAAACGGCCCGGGAAGATCCGCAGGAAGAGTGCTCCAAAAGGAACCTCCTCGCTGGAGGGGTTGACTGGAGCAAGAAGGTGTGTGAGAATCTTACGTTAGAGAGAAGACTGAAGAGGTGAATGGAGGGTCTTACAGGCCATGGTAAGGGGGTTGGACTTCTCTACTTAATGGAAAGCGGTTAAAGGAATGGGAAATCACTACAGGAATTTAAGCAAAGGAGTGACACGATCTGAATTAGGTTTTAAGACGATTCCTCTTCCTGGGTTGACAATGAATGGTAGTGGGGCAGGATGGAGAAGGGGCAGCTGGTTAGGGGGCTATTGGAATTGTACAGCAAGAGATACTAGTACCTGGGACTAGGATGGTGGCAGTGGAATTAAGCTAGAAGGATCTTGTTTGAACACGTGTTCACAATAATCTTAAGGAGTCCAGGTTACTGCCCCATTTTACAGACAAGAGAAAGGGGACACAGAAAGGTTAAAGGAGCATTTTCACAAGTTGGTTTCCCCATAACACAGAGTAAAAAAATACATTTTAGGGGAGAGGGTATAGTTCAAGTGGCAGAGTGCATGCTTAGCATGCATGAGGTCCTAGGTTCAATCCCCAGTACCTCTTCAAAGAATAAATAAATAAACCTAATTAATTACCTCCCCCCACCAAAAAAATTTTTAATGCATTTTATACCACAACCCAGTACACGAATGCATGCATTTAAGATATATAACAAAACAGTTCTGTAGGTAATGTAGCCTCTTCAACTTTTCTTTCTTTTTTTCAGTGCTGACTGAGACAACTGATTGATCCACTCATGTCTAGATCCACATTTGAAAACACTGAATTGAGGCCTCACTGGGAAATGGAGTCAGAATTCCAGCCTAGGTCTGTGTGACCCACAACCCTTACTTGGTCTTCCTACTACATTGTCTCTCTGGCCCCTGGGAATTTATCTTTTGGACTCAGCAGAGGTAGAGAGATCTTTGGAGAAGGATGTGCTGCAGCATTATTTTTTACTACAGAAAAAGTGGAAAGCCCCGAAGCCTAGTTAGAGAAGAACAGCTAAGCAATTCATGGCCCACCTCACAAAGAACCTCTTGCAGCAGTTGAAAATGCTAATTATAAAGATGGAAACACAGGAAAGGCCAATGATAATACATTGTTTAAAAAGCCCCATGCGAAATGATCTTTACACCATGATTAAAACTGTCAAAATATGGCCATGTGTAGGGACAATGAGAGTATGTAAAAATGAAAATACTTACTTGTTTGGTTGGTGGTTGGTTGTTTTTCCCATGTTCAAAATTGTATTTTACAGTTGTTAATTTGTTATTCTAGTTAAAGAGTCAGTGTGTCTGAATCCCTCTCCCTGCCCCCCCCCAAATAAAAGCCCATCTTAGGTTTGTCTGCCTCTGTAACCTTTGGTGAGGCATCACATGCCTGCTTCATAGAGTTGTCATGACGATACGTGTCATACCTTCTCATAGCACCCTGTAGTTTTTCTTCATGGCACTTGAAATGGATTAAGTTATTGAAATCATAGCATGTGTGCTTTACATTTTCTACCACCAACCACCTCCTTTAAGTGTTTTAATTCCTTCCTGAGATTTAACCTGGTAGTGGAGGACCAAGAATCAAAAGCCGAATGTCAGCAGCCCTTCTTGGCTTTTGAAAAACCTAAACTCATTGAGGGGGATGAGGGAAGAAGGAAGAAAGTCTGTGAGAAGCTAGGAGCAATAGTCCCAGGCCGTATAACAGAAAGGAATACGTGCCTGCCCTCAGAGAGACTTGACCTTAAAGGACTAATAAAAATCATTATGATGTGGGGAGGACATGGCTCAGTGCTTAGATTACATGCTTAGCATGCAGGAGGTCCTGGGTTCAATCCCTAGTACCTCCATTAAAATAATTAAATAAATAAACCTAATTACCTCCACCCAAAAAAATAAAAATTAAGGAAAAAACAACCTACAAACCTTTAGAAAAACATCATGATGGCAATCTAACTAACGCAAAATACTTATTATGAAACAGATACTTCTATGGGATAAAAATTAATATATATTTGCAAATATGTGTGTATTTTCATTTAATCATTAAAACAACATTATAAATAGATACTGTTATCCCCACTTTACAGATGAGGAAACTGAGGAATAGAGTGGTTAAATAACTTTCTCACAGTCACCAACATCTATAACTTCGTAGTAACAGCCAGGATTCAAACTCCAAGAGCCAGTGCCTTAAACTATACTGTATTGTCTCCTGTGGCTCTCAAGTGCTTGGAATGGAGCCATGATGAGCCCCAGATGGGTAAAAAGGTCCCACCAAGTTTCCCCATCTCCCAAACCTGACACGAAAGCCACAAAGCCCCAAGACCTCAAGGGTCTGTGCTGTGGTGCCAGTGGGCATCTTAAAAATGATCAAAGTAAACATTACCAACCTTTCTATAACACTCCAGGACCTTTGCACAACCCCAGGAAGGGAACCCTTTCCCAATAGCAACTAAGACTGTAGCCCAAAGAGATGGGGATCTTAGCAACAAAATTGAATTGATGCGAAGAGAAAAAATAGGAATAGATCAGAATGTCTGGGTTTAAATCTGGCTCCATCATGTACTGGCTATGTGACCGTGCTCTGACTCAGTTTCTGTCGTCTTCTGTAACACGGAGATAATGATGGTCCATCTGCCTTGTGGTGGTTGTATGCGTTAAATGAGTTAGCACAGATGAAGCACAATCCCTGGCACCTTAGTAAGGCTAAATAAGTGCCACTTATCATTATTATTACCTGCACTGTGAAAACTACACATTTATTTATATAATTATAATAATGCCTGATGCCTCCACTAAGCTGAATGCTCGCAAGGTCAGGAACCAGCCATGCACTGCACACTAAATTAGTGCGGCTGACCCTAGGCTTCTCCTATACACAGAAAGTATAAAGGACAACCTTACTTTCTTTTAACAATAAAGAGAAAAATCCAGTCTCTCTTGAAATGGATATGTGCCTGGGTAGGAGAGAAGTAAGTCTACCCACACAAATGTGTGATTACGGCATCCACACATTGCAGCGCTTTTTTTTCCAGTGACTCAGTTTAATCATGAAACTAGGAAGTTTCCACAGTTAAGCAAGCTCTCAGCAATAAGGCAGAAAAATATGCCTAACATAAAGATTTTCCAGAACTAGAGGACAAAAAGCTATATCATCAATTGATAAGGATAATCACCCTAAAGCGATCTGATAACATCATCCTTTCCTTTGGACAAAAGATTTTCAAAGTAGCTCTACACTAGTCGAAACGGTTAATTATATGGTAGAAATTGGTTTCTCCATCCCCAAGACACCTGCGGCAGCTAGTAGGCTGCTGCAGTAGTCAGTTGTTTTCGTGGTGACAAGAATGGTGGCACCTTCCTCCATGGCTGGGAGTGGAAAGAAGTGGTCAGAATCGACCTTTGGTTTGCTCTTGGCACAGTCTTCACACGTGCATTCTTCTACTGTGTACTCCAGGCCCCTCGAAAGAAGGGTTTCCGCATCGGTTCTGCCATCACTGCTATCGTCCACGTCAGCATTATCCTCGTTCAGGAGAGCCAATCCTGATTGCCCAGAAACAGAAACATTAACCTAAATTTTCCAGGGCACGTGGTCATGCCAGACTTAGCTGCACATATCAGAAATCAAAGCAGCGCAAGACAGATCTCTTCCTACAAAATAAACGAGTGGGTCTTACACTAGCTGGGTTCAAAGATGCACTTGGTTTAGGGCACACAGTTGTTTTTAAGTCATTGCTTGTCTGTTTCACGTTGGCCCACATTTAAAAATCAAGAGATTTCACCAGGTACACACTACTATATATAAAATAGATAAACAACAAGGACCCATCGTATAGCACAGGAAACGATATTCAATCTCTTGTAGTAAGCTATAATGGAAAAGAATCTGAAAATATATTTATACATATTTGTACATATATGTATAACTAAACAGCTTTGCTGTACACATGAAACTAACATTGTAAATCAACTACATTTCAACAAAAAATAAAATTTAAAGAGAAAAAGCAAATTAAAAAATGTTAAAAAAATTTTTTTAAATCAAGAGATTTTACATTCAAATCTAAACAACTGGACTCTTCTTTTTAAAGATAACAAAATGTGGCCACTGGGAACCCACATCCCTACATGGAAACAATCAGCTGGAGTTGATAGCACCTGCCTCCTTCAAGCAGGCCATGGGCTTCTCTGTTGCCAAAGCCTCCAATGTCCCATTACATTCGTTTCTTATCCAGTTGGCCCTTGGATGCATTCAGGTACTGGCCCTTTTTACCAAAATCAGCCTTGGGTGACACTTTAGAATTCAAAGTAAAGATGCTGCTCTTACAGCATTCTGTGGCAGATTGCTTTTTTTTTTTAATGAATCTCTCATGATCCCATAAGGAAGGGGTCTCCATTATGTCCCCGTGACGTGCCTGTGACGTGCCCCAACCTTCCACAGTGTAACTCCATCTTCCAAAACATCACACGTAAAGTCACTCCCCACCTGTCTCTCAAACCCCAGGCAAAAAAAAGAAAAATGAGTAAACTCATCTACCTCTCCTAGCTGCACTAGAAAGCAAATGAGGTGGATGCTTGACAGATTATGCATGGAAAATAAATGCATAAAGAAATAGGGCAATGGCTGTGAAGTATTTGGGAATCAGATCATGGGCAAAGATAATGGGCAGAAATATTTTTATTTTAAAAAACCCTTAAGTAGAACATTCACATCTCTGGGACTAGCTCTCAACTGCTTAAGAAAGATAATAATCTTTGACATGATTGCTCAAATAATCCAGGAGCAACTGGTTATTCTTTTCTAGCATTTTTCAGCAGTGAAATGTTCACCCAAGCAAACAACAGTTATATTTATATTAAAATATGGCCACAGATCTTGCCAAATATACTTTTCCCCACAGAAGCAGACCTGGCTAGCTGTTTCTGATAGCATGACATTTAATCAATGTGCTAACTTCGGTCAAAGAGATGGATGCTTCCCAAGGAAGCCTCAGTACTTCAGAAGAGTAATTACCAATGGAAGAATGTCGGGGAAGGCTGACATTATAGGACACGGGCAAAGGTGGTGTAAACACTGCAAAGAAAGCTTGCTTCTTACAAGAAGTCCATTTAACATAACTGTTGCCTAACACACTCAAAAGAGCTCTTACCGGAGGAGATACTCAACATGAAAAAAGTAAAGGAAATGAAATTCACAATAGCCACCTCTTGGAAATAGATTTCAAAGATCAACCATCAAACCAACCTGTGTTTTTAAATTGGTCCTTTAATGGTTCGGAGTTCATCTTCCTTAGCAAGAACATCAACACGAAAACTGTCAGAGAAACTATCAAGCTCAGGCCCAGACAGGTCCAGAGTATCACATTTGTTCCTCTCACTGAATTAAAACAATGTCAGAGAGATAATGAACTGATAGCATAATATCCACATCCAGTAAAGATTACCTACCATCCAATTCCCCTAGTTCATCAGCATTGACTTTTAAATTCTAAATAATACTCACTTAGGAGAGTTGATTTTAAAAGGCCTATGTTGTTAAGAGTGCTGGGAAAAAATCAAGATCAGTTCTGAATAATTACTTTGTTCCTATTGGTATTTAAATGATTGCCTTTTATTCTTTCCCTTTTTAATTCAGAAGAAACTCTCACCACCTTCCCCATAATGTTTCTTCTTTGAATAAAGAAGTAGTGGATATAGACAGACTAGTGGGGAGGGCAGAGCTCAAGTGGTAGAGAGCTTGCTTAGCATCCACAAGGTCCTGGGTCCAATCCCTAGCACCTCCTCTAAAAAAAAACAAGTAAGTGAGTAAATTCTAATTACCTCCCCCAACAAAAAATAAAAAATAAATTTAAAAAAAGTTTTAATTAAAAAAATGCGATATAGAGAGACTACTTCACACCAGTGAATAATGGCTGAAGCAGAATTACTTACTTGTATTACAGTAACGCTGACATGTTAGAGGAGGGGTATTAGAGCATCGAAGGCGACACGGTTGGCAAGCATCAAGCAATCTGTCAAAATATTCATTTTGGAAGCACTGCTGAGCCATCTGGAACCTCATCACAAAAAGAAACAAGGAAACCACAGAAAGAACAGCATGGAAGGACAAGTAAACAGGAATTCCCCAGCAAATGTAGTGACGGCAGCTAGAATGTCTCGAGGGGAAAAAAAAAACAACTTCACGTCGAGGACTGAGTTCTCATTGGGGCCGACTCTTTGTACTGCGGCTGAGGATTTGAATACTGACTTTGATTCCAGTTTCTAAGTTTGGGACTTGGGTGGGGTAAGAGATGGAGTGTACGTACTGAGGGTGAACCATACCTGAAAGAGAAACTGCTTATTTATAGAGGAAATTTCTCAGCCAGGTGATAGTTGCAAGAAGTAGACAAGCCTGAGGCATCAAGCAGAAGGTTCAGTAACCATTTCTAGAACACCTGTTTGTGAGCTGTGCTGTGTGATAGGCCCCAGGGAGGGAGATCAGACCAGGTCTGTGCCCCTTGAGAACTTAAAAGTCTAACAGCGGAGCTGGAAATTCACTCAAACAACCACAAAGTGTAGTAGGATGTGACAGAATGTAGAGGGAAAGGAGTGTCAAGCATGCCTCCCAGGTTTTAAACCGAAGAATTCCAGAATTCTGATAGAAATAGGGAAGTCTAGGGTAGTTAAACTGGCAAGAGGATTGGAGGGAAGATAGGTGTGAGGCATTACAATAATTATAATAACATTATATTAATATTATATTACACATTAATATAATATATTATTAATATCTATATTCCATTGCTGAAAATTTACAAAAAACAGATGTGCATATAGCAAAATTATCCATAGTCGTAGCATCTAGAAATAATCACTGTTAACATTTTGGTGAATCATAGAATTTGCAAACAGGCCTGCCAATGTGTTCTGTTTGACCAATGCCTGATATAGATCCTTCTGGAAGGATTTCTGTAGGTGGATGGACAGATAGATACATAGATAGATTGTAGTGCATTTTCCTTTTTACATAAATGAAATCACATGCGTTTGCTTTTAACCATATTGAGAGATACCTGTGAAGGAAAAATACTGCAAACCATTTTAGTAAACAAAGAATGCTGAAGTTATCAAGTCATCAGCAGCTGCCACCACCTCCCAGTGAAGACAAGCCTGGAGCCCGGCCTCTGCAGCCACTCACAATGGTGCACTCTGAGGGGACTCAGAATAAGAAAGGACAGGATACTGGCCCTAGATGGCTAGATGCTTGTCAAAGGAATGAATTCAATGAGCCCAAATGTTTGCTTCCTCCCATACATAGAAAAGCACTAAATTCTTTAACTTGAAATGCCCGGTTTTCTTTAGATAACAAGTAATCTTTTATTGTTTCAACTACCTGGTCTTTGTTGTAAAGCTCCTATATATCCTAGCTCCTCCTTTACCTCTTAGGAGCAGTCCCTCAGAGCCTCTGAGAGGCTGTCATCCTGCTCAAGTCCTTCCCCTTAACAAAACGTAACTCTCAACTTTTAGGCTGCGCATTTATTTCAGTCGACATACCCATACAGAAATATCCAGAGATACCAGTCAGAAATGCAAGACTCGAGTGAAATGCAAGAAAATGGCAAACTTCAAGCTGCAGGTAGTGATTATCTCTGGGGGCAGGGAAGGTACAAAAGAGGCTTCACCTGTATTGGGCTCATTTTATTAAGCTGAACAGTGGATACCTTGGCATTTGCTGGGTTATTTTTTTGTTGTTGTATTTTTTGTTACCCTTTATCCTTTTTCATATTTTTAAAAGAGTACATAATAAATATTAAAATAACGGTAACATGAAATGCAAGACAGCTATCTTTTCGCTATAATCTCTCATGGTGGAAGGGGCAGGAGATCTCTCTGGAGTCTCTTTTAAGACCCTCATCCCCTACATGGGAGCTCCACACACATGACCTAATCACCTCCCAAAGACTGCCACCTCCAAATGCCATCCATCACGCTGGGCGTTAGGTTTCAACAAGAATGGGGGGGAGGGGGCGCAAACATTCAGTCCACAGCAGCTGGGAAGCTTGGAGGAGGGAAGAGAACAGCGTTAAAGGAAAATCTCCCAAAGATGCAGAGCACAGGCTAAGGGAACAAGAATAAACATTAAAGAAGTCAGAGAGACCACGGATGGGCAGAGTCCAGGACAGTGCGAGGCCTAAAAGCCAAAGCACCAGGGGAAGGAAGCCTTTCTCCCGGAGCCCTTGCTGGGCCTTAAATCCTGAGAGGTTGTTCTAACCCCTTGTAGGCCTCCGGGGACTTGGAGAAGCCCAGGGAGGGCTCCATCCTCAGAGAGGTCATGGCAGTTGCCTCCTGGCCTGTTGCCAAGCTTCACAGAGGTGCTGAGTGGGCTCCCAGGGGCCACACTGGTGGGCTTTGTCCTGCCTCATGCTCTCTCTCCATGGTTTCAAGCTCCAAGCAGAGAGTGCAGGTCAGTGGGCTGTTGGATCGCTGGGTCAGAGGGGAGAGGACAGTGAGGACAGCCTGCTGAGGTTCCCCGGGGCAGCTCTGGTCCCTCCCCGTCCCCAGATTTGCTGCTCTGCTTGTTGAGCAGTCTCTTTGATTCTGTGGGGAAAACCTGTGATCCTTCCAGTAAAGTCCCTTTTTGGCTGATGTTAGTCAGTTTGGGTTGGTTGCTAGCAATTCAAAAATAAAAATAAAATCCTTAACTATATTAACTCGTCCTTTTTCTTTTTCCTTATTTTTTCTTTCTCTTTTTTTTTTTTTTTTTTTTGGTGAGAAAACAGGTACCTTTATTTACTGCTTGGTGCTAGTGTAAATTCACACAATCGTGGAGGACAGTTTAGCAATTTGTATCAAAAGCCTTAAAATTTTGCAAGCCCATTGCCCCAGTAGATCTATTTCCAGGAATATCTCCTTAGGAAATAGTCACAAATGTTCACAGATATTTATTGCGGAGTTGCTTGTAGAGAGAAACAACTTAATTAAGAGACCAGATATATTTACCACAATACATCCAAACAATAGAATACTATGGCAACTATTAAAAATTATTTAATCAAATATTACTTAATGACAGCTGGGCATATGTGCAGTTCTATTAGCATTAATATTCAAATCCTGGTAGTTCTGAGCTCCCACCTGCTTAACTTCAAACTGTTACCACCTCCCTCACAAATCCCCCGCTTGTCGCTACAAAGGGCTTGCTAGACTGGCTCTCCTGCCTGGGGCACATTAACCCTTTCTTACCTAATTCCTCCACTCATGCCAGAAATGTCGACAACAGATTCTGATTGAGGTAAGCTGTGCCTTCCGATTTGCTCCTCAGGATAGGGGTGACTGGTGAATCCTGGCATCTTAGGGTCAGCTGATTCTCCTCCATGACAAGGGAAGGAGATGGGGTAACACGGACTCAGAGGTGACAGAGAAAAATATGCAAAAGAGTTTGGGAGATGTCATACTAGTCAGAACTCTTTCTATAAGAAATGACATAAAAACTTACATTCAGAAAGAATTTACTGGTATTATAGCTGAGAAGTCCAATGGTAGAATCAACTTTAGTGGTTTGAGTTATGTCCAACTTTCTCTCTATCACTTGCCTCAGCAATGCCATCTTCTGGGGCTTGGCTCCATTCCCAGGCCTTTCCCTCGTGGTCAAAAGAGAGCTGCAGTGCCTCCAGACCTCACACACTCATTCCTTCTGAAGTCTCCCTAGTCATCTCATTTGCTCCCATGGTTTTCTTGTTACCTTCCAAACCTATGTATCCAACTACAACCTTGACCCTGAAATTCAGACCCATCTACCAACTGCTTACTTGATATATCTACTTCAAAGTCTAAGAGTAATTGCTAACTTTATTAGAGTACATTTGGATTTTCCAGAAAGGAGAGAGTGTGTGCTGCCTTTTCAAACCTACCTGGTCATTGAATCTTTTTTTTCAAGGACAACTTGTGAACATTTAGGAATACACATTTTGTGGAACATAATTTGGGAAAAATCAAGCCACAGTATCTCCACAATTCCCTTTAGTTCTCAAAGACTATGATCTGGGGACTTAGTGGGGTTGCAATAAAATAGAAGTTGTATGGTTTTAAAATAAAGATTCTTTTTTAAGTTTCGTGATAAAGTTTGTTGGTGTAATAACATCAGCACCAAAAGAATGCTAGGTCTGAGCTCGCTCTGCACAAAAAGAACACGGAGAAAAACCAACCCCTGAGTCAGCATCAAGCTTCAGCACTCCCTGAATGCTCTAAAGAAGCCAGGAGACGCTATCTCAAATTCCTGAAGCCTTAGCGCGTTCTGCAAGGAAAATGCCATGCAATTACAATATTATTTTTCCAGATTACTAAACTACCAACAAGTTTTCACAGCAGAACACTTTGACCTTCAGCTCTTAACTGTAAACCAACAGGACACAAAGTCCTCCAAGGACTTTAGATTTTTCACTTGAAGAGGGAAATCTAGGCCTGGATTAGTCAGGGTTCTCCAGAGAAAGAGAACCAACAGGATGTATATATAGAGAGAAAGAGACTCAGTATAAGAAATTGGTTCATACAATTATGGAGACTGAGAAGTCCTAAAATCTGCAGTTGGCAAGCTGGAGGCCCAGGAAAGTCAACAGTGATGGTGACGTTTCAGCCTGAGTCTGAAGTTCCAGTTCTAGAGCCAAGGGTGTAAGTTCCAGTCTTAGAGTCACCAGGCTGGAGACCCAAGAAGAGCCGATGTTTCAGTTTAAGTCCAAAGGTGGGAAAAGACTGACATCCCAGCTCAACGGTCAGGCAGGGCTTCAACACATTGAATGAGGGCAATCTGCTTTACTCAGTGTACTCATTCAAAGGTTAATCCCATCTGAAAATACCCACTCAGAATAACATACACACCCAAGATAATGTACCAAACAGCTGGGTATCCCTTGCCCCATGAAATTGACACATAAAATTAACCATCACAAAGCCCTTGACTATACATCCAGTCCCTGCCTTCTGTTGACCTCCTTGAATCACCTCTGTGCGACATGTGCTGTGTCCACTGGCTCCTCTGGGAGCTGTGTCTCCCAACATCCCCATCCCTATATGGTTCCAGGATAGAGTTGGCCAACAGAGGAACATGCATGAGACTTAGAAAGTGGATGTGAAGCAGCAGCCACTGTTCTCCGAAAGACATCATAGTCGCCTGCAGTGATAGATGGACACAAAGATGCCTGATGGGTTCAGGCATGTCCTCGTTCTCCTTTGCTCTGCATCCAGCTCTTCTTTCCACGCTGGCCCTGCCGACCAACGGCTGCCCCAGCCCCATCGGTGAAGGCTTGTCTGCTGATTCACAGAGAGGGGATTGCACAGAGGTAGGGGCAACCTAGATGACTCCAAGAGCCCCCCCTGACAGCTCCATGTTAGCAACTGGATGTTCCTGACTTCTCAGATCATCTAGTCGGTGACTCCTCTGGTCCACACCTCCCCAGCTCCTCTCACTACTATAGAAG